GATTTTTAAAAATTTTAAAAATAACTCTAAAATATATAAAATTAACAAAATTAATCTTTGTAATACTTTTCTCTATCTTGTTCCATTTCTCTTTACTACTTTTAATGACCATAAAAGTCTATTATATGAGTTTTAAAAAAATATTTATCTATTTTCAAACTCTAATGTAAATATTAATCTTTCTATAGTTGTAACTCATGATTGTATTTATATAAGTATGTTAATTTTTTAATAATATAGTTTAGCAATAAAGACACTATTTTTCTGATTTATTTTATTCTTCTTAACATAAAGATTAAAAACATTTAAATGAAACTAATATCCCACATAAAAATAAAATATTAGCTCAAATAAAAAAATATTAATATATTTTAGTATATTACAATTTCACTCAAGAGACTATAACTTGCATTAATATAATTCATAAAAAAATAACTAAAATATAAAATAATTAAGATACTATTTTTCTGATTTATTTTATTCTTCCTAACATAAAGATTAAAAACATTTAAATGAAACTAATATTCCACATAAAAATAAAATATTGGCTCAAATAAAAAAATTAATATATTTTAGTATATTACAATTTAACTCAAGAGACTATAACTTGCATTAATATAATTCATAAAAAATAACTAAAATATAAAATAATTAAAACCTTAAAAAAATCCTCCAAATATAAGTTTTTCTTCTTGAATCTAAAACCTATTTTCTATCACAACAACTTATTACCATATTGTTACCTTCATTCATTTATTTTAAACTAAAATCATATAGAATAAGCTAGTAAGACTTCCTCTATAGTAAGATATATTAATATCTCAAATAATTAATACAAAATGTTAAATCCTTGTATTGATAAGTATAAACATTTTTTTATAAATTATATTATGCCATGTAGTCCCTCTAGTTAAATTCTAATACATTAAACTATACTAATTTTTTTTTATTTGAGCTAATATTTTATTTTTATGTGGAATATTAGTTTCATTTAAATGTTTTTAATTTTTATGTTAGGAAGAATAAAATAAATCAGAAAAATAGTGTCTTTATTGCTAAACTATATTATTAAAAAGATTAACATGCTTATATAAATACAATCATGTGTTACAACTATACAAAGATTAATTTTTACTGTAGAGTTTGAAAATAAATAAATATTTTCTTAAAACTCATATATATACTTTTATGGTTATTAAAAGTTGTTCAGAGAAATGGAACAAAATAGAAAAAAATGAAATAAAAAAGTGAAAAGGGACTATTTTGTTATTTTTATATATTTTAGGGGTTATTTTTAAAATTATTAAAAACTATTGGGGTGTTTTTATATTTAAAGTTATTGTTTTATTAAAAAAGCTAACGGAAATCCGTTAATTTGGACGGAAAATGGACCGATTGGACGAAATTGGCGAAAATTTCAAACATTAGGATAAAGTTGGCTAACCGAAAATCTATTGGGTATGATTGATAACGAGAGCAAAACTTTGAGTAGGAACGATATTTTTTCCTATTACAGGAAACGATACTCCCACTCATATTACATGTAAAATGATTTTATTTTGAATAAACATTCTTAAAAATAGGTAGAGCTAGGTCAAAACAAATTATAAAAGAAAATTAATTATAATTAAAAGAAACAAATAAATCTACAGAAATGATTTTTTTTTTCTTTGGAAAGGAAAATTTTAAATTAGTTGAGAGTTAATCAAACTCTTACAAAGAAATCAAGAATCTCAAACACGAGGGGGTGGGGAAGAGAGAGATATAATAAATTGAGAAAAACATAGTTGAATGATTTAAGGATTAGATATTCCCGCACTTAACTAAAAAAAAAACTCCCATACATATATGTTAAAATAAATAATAAAGAGAACAAACAACTAATAATTAAGTGGTGTTAAAATTATAGTACAAAATACAAGCAAACAAAAGTTAGTTTATTGCTTATTCCATAATTGATTAATGAATTTAGTATTACGTATGAAGAACTAAGCAATATTTTTTATCAAATAGTCCCTAAAGGAAGAAAAAACAATTGAAAGGTATTACTAATGGGGTGAAACAAATACTCCAACCATTACATTTAAATATTTAAAATCTACGAAAACGGGTAAAAAAAAATACGAATAAATGATTAAATAGAAAATGGGAAAAAATACTAAACTAAATAAGTTAATGGGCAAGACAACAAAAATATAATAAGTTGATAATGCAAACTTATTTATATTCAAAAAGATAAATCTATTGAGAATCACAACAGATCAAACGGAGAGATAAATAATTTAATGTATTATTAAGGAAAATGATATATTTCTGCACTTGTATATTAAAAATATGTAAACAAACGCGTTAAACAACTAAAATGTGATAAGTTTAGAATGCAACTAATATGCCTAAGACTCACTTTAATTGACTTAATGGAGATTAAATGAAGGAAAAATAGTTAAATTGTATTATAGGATAGAACAACAATGGTTCATAAATATTTCAAACTCTTAGAAAATGTGTAAAAGATATCATCCAATTGATTGACTCAGAAATTGCTTAGAGGCCTTCCGGTAGAAAAATTATCGTGTTAAAGAGTTATTTTCAAGAAAATTCCTCCCACGGTACTAAAAGGCAGCAAATAAGATACTATTGATTCTTCAATTAAAAATATTTATTTATGGTCTCAATATGAGGTACTCATATTGAAACTTAAAATGCATCTTTTGAGGGACTTCAAAAGAAAACGTTGAATGTACCAAAGAATTTTCTAAATGGCTTTTTAAGGTTGGTGAAGGATTGAAATACCTGCAAACATGCTCATTTAAGCTGAGAGGGATATCAGTGAAAATATTGTCAATAGTGCATTCACTAATATTTGGAATAATATTAAAATTTTCAATTATCTCCAATAAGAGAAATTTTTGCTCAAATTCACAATGAGGTCGAAATTGTGAGTGATCATATGTTGTCCATTACAAACGAAGAAAATTATGTACTTAATTTCATATAGCATGCAATTCAAAAGATGTGAAAATACAGAAAAGGTACGTTGATCACTCATGAATTTGTCAACAGTGATAAATGTCCATGGTTGCTTCAACATAACTTAAAAGTTCAAAAAAGATTCTCTGGTCATATTGCTTAAAAATATTGACTAGCGAGCTAGATTATGTAATGTCACAATATTTTGAGTTATCATGTCAGACACATGTATCGTTAAAGAAAAGTTTATTCCAACAACAATGTGAGTGATATCATACGTATGACACACATATCATTCTGCTCGTCTAATACTAAATATATGTTTAAATAAAGAGAGATAATTCTCTGTGACTAAACTCAAGTGAGATTATACTTACCACGGTTGTTTTCACGCATGGGAACCTATATGTTGTCTTATTTTGTTTCGAGATAAAGAATTCCAATCAGTGTCAAAGATATATCAGCACTAAGGCCACAAATCATAGTTATCAAAGCGGGATACGTATCGTGTATCGGAAACATGGATTTATGATACGCGTATCGTATCGTGTATCCTATCGTAAGATACGTTTGAATATAATAATATCTAATAAATATCATAAACTTTATATGTAGTTGATATATTTATGTATTTTTTTTATTTTTCATTTATAAACAAATAAATTGATTAAGTTGAATTCAAAATTATTTGAAAGTTACTCATATTACTTATTCATTATATGAATAATGGTCGTCAAATCTATATAATAAATATTATTTTTCATAATAATTTTTATTAAGTCATAAATTTAATAGAGAGAAATTAATATAAACATGTATTGCATTTATTAACATGCTATTAGTTATACTTGATTTAAAAAAGGAAAATGATATTATGAATAAAAAATATTTTTACCTAATTTTATTTTTTAACTAGAATAATTTATGTATCGATTTTATTGACAATTGAGGAAGATTATGTTTATGAAATAAATTAAAAGTATCTATTTAACAAATTGTAAATGAAATTCGCTCTTAATTTGAAATTTAAATGGTCACAATTTGAATTCTTTTAAGAAAAAATTAATTCTTTACCTATGTTTTGTATCGTACGATACACAATCGTATCGTGTATCGTATGTATCGTAGGATACGTATCGGTAATTGACCGATACACAAGCGATTGCGATACATACCATGATACGGATTTTGATACGTATCGCGTATCGTACAATACTTACTACTATGCCACAAATATATTCTATCAAGAAGTATCGCAAAGAAGATTTGTGATTATGTAATTCGTAATCGAAAGGTTTTTCTTCTTTTCCTTTTATGTTCTATTTGAAGTTTGAATAGAGTATTACAATATTCAATAACATAACCTGCATTATCATTCGCCTAATTTTCTATTTTGATCGCAAAGTCATATTTTTTATGTCCCAAAAATATAATGCATATTGAATTATGAGATTTTATTCAATATAGATTCAATGTTGATTTATTTTTTTATTTTTTTTTTTGACAAAAGGAGCACTATGTTTATACTTAAATTTTTTTAGTACATGTTTTGTTCACCTTTTTTTTGTGGGATTTTGTACATGTTTGTAAAGTAATAGAACATTTCGTTTCCCCAATTTTATAATCTCTATTTAAATTTTGTGGGATAATATTTGTTGCGTCCAGTTTTTAGCTACGACTAATTATATATCGCTTTATCAAGAGTCACCTCGAGACAAAGAATAAAGGTCCTGATAAGCAATAAAAACGGTACTATTAAATCCAAGACTACGAATGTAGTCTACAAAAAAATATTGTAAGACACATTGATTCTTTTCGTTTTTTTTTTATTTTTATTTTTCCTTTTTTGAATTTGTTAACAATGCTGTTTGCATTAAATAAATTACGGTCGTATTCATTTAGTAAAGTATTATTAATGCTTGTGTTTTATATTTTTCAACGAAGTAATTATACATTTCATAGTTAACATTTTATAATAATACAAAATTTATAAAAATATTAATATTCTTTTGCTTTGTGTTGTAATGTCATGAAAAACACGGCCCTGCCGCCAGAAAGATTCTAACATGACGACAACAGCTCTCTTCCTCTTCCCCGAATCTCATCCTTAATTCTTCCCAACCAAAAAATTTAGGAATCTATTGTGTAATTGAACTCCCTTCCTAACCCAGAAAAAGCAATAAGCGGAAAATGCAATGGAGAATTGCTGTTTAGGGCACACGTTTTCTTCCCAACAATGCAAGTAGTTTTAGGGCACACATTTCATTTTTCTTCCTGAAATTCGCTGCAATGCTTCTTTGATTGCGGTTCAGGATTGTCGCATTCTTTCAGAGTCACTTCTTGCTTCAAATTATGCTGCACGAGCTACTACTAGGACTGGTCGGCTACACCGGAGACCTTATCATTGACGAAAGAGAGTACCATCAGCAAGAACCGCTCCGCCAATCGGACGAGTGCACCTTCAAGCTCGCTCCGGATATCTTTTTCATCCAACCAAGTGAAAGGTCGTCCTTCTGTGTGTGTGTTTATTTTCCCTTCGAAACAAAATGTTTAGTTTTGTATTTTTCTGCCCTTTTTTATCCGTTCTGAACTTGATTACATTCATTTGAAATTACGACATTTACTGGTTTGCCTGGTTGTGTGATCGATGCACAATGTGTTGATGATAGCAGTGTGCCTAAATATTTGTTAACTTTGAGACGTTTTTGTTTGTTTATTTTATTTTAATTATCTTTTGTTTTTGGGTGATTTTCGGCTACAGGGATGTGATTGAGAGGTTAATTAAGCTGGGATTCTACTTCAAAGAGCTTGATCGATTTGCTACCAAGTCCCGCAATTTGAGTTGGATAAGGCCCCCAAATGTGTTACCCTCTTCTGATTCGTCATCTAATGGAATAAAAGAGACTCAGAGTGTGTATAGAAGGGCCATAGCCAATGGCATTGTTGAGATTCTGTCTGTTTACAAGTCTGCAGTTCTAAGCATTGAGCAGAAACTCTTGTCTGATCCTGTACCTATATTGGCAACTGTTACACAAGGCCTCAATAAGGTATCCCCTGATTTTTTTTATGGAAAAACTGCTTCAATTTCTCTTGTCAGATAGTAGCAATATGTAGTTTATTCTTCATTTACATGAAACAAAATTTCAAAGTTCACTTGATTAGTGTGTAACACTTCACAATCACTTTCCGTTTTTTCCCCATCTGACGAAACATTTTATGTCACTCTAAAAGAATAATGCTTCTTTGCCCCAGTTCTTTGTCCTTCTGCCACCTCTTTATGAACTGGTTTTAGAGATTGAGCGAAATGGGTTACAAGGAGGGAGGCTTCTTAACTTATTGCACAAGCGCTGCCACTGTGGAGTTCCTGAATTGCAGACATGTCTTCAGAGGTGCAATTATGTACATTTTCTCCTTTTGTTTTTGTTGCTTGTGAAGAAGGATTTCTCTATTACCTGACTAACAGCTGGTACTTCAATTTTGAATACCTCGAAAACCTGTTTCCTTGCTGTGTACTGGAATTCGTGTGATGTTTTAGTGGTGTGAAAATAGTTATGGTTTTAATGCTGGATGATGGATCTGTCTTATTTTTTAATGTAATAAATTTTCTTTGCTTCTGTGAACTTTTGTTGTTTTCTGAAATACCTTCTAAAGATTTGTTATTTTGATTACAAATTGTGATAATTTTTGCCCAAATTGTAGTTTGTAATGCCTGTTCATAAAATTGTTCCATTTACGGTGGATTCGTTTTGGTTAACTTGGAGATTATAAATATGTCTTTATTTTTCTTTTTAAACACAGGCTTCTCTGGCATGGGCATCAGGTCATGTATAATCAGCTTGCATCTTGGATAATATATGGAATTCTTCATGATCAGCATGGAGAATTTTTCATAAGCAGGTAATGATGCTTTTATACATGATCAATTTTATGATGCTTATCTGTATTGGGTATGTTCACTAATTATTATCCATCAAAGTATCCTGATAATTGCACATTCCTGGAAACCAAGAACGACGACTAACCGTTGTGCTGTTAAAAATTCATCTGCTATTGGTTGTGGTTAATTCTGGGAAGCTTCTGTTGCATCTGCAATAGTTGTTCAAATGTTGCCTTTATCCATTCCAAGTTTCCATATTCTGGAAGGAACCTCATGACATTTAAAGGAACTGTTGATGATGATTATATTTGGGTCCTATGTGAAATTGCGTGACTAGCAGCTGTAAATACTCAATGTTATTGCTTTGGTAATGTAAATGAATCTTCTATATACTTCCTTTTGAATATGCTAGTGTCGGAATTATGTCTCCCGATTATTGATGCTATGTGATTCCCTTTGGTCAATTAATTTTCTCTAATTGTTACGAGTGTTCTGTTGTAAGAAGCTTTGATTCCTTATGATGTTTAGCATAGTTCAGTACTAAAATTGAGGTTTCTCTTTTGCCTAGGCAGGAGAATAGGGACTCAGAGCATGACTCACCTGCAGATGTGATGGACCGATTGACTTCCTTGTCAATGGAGGACACTTCACTTACTGACTGGCACTCAGGCTTCCATGTTTCTCTGGTATACCCTGTGATGCTTGTGTTACCCTCATTTTGTTGTCATTCCATCTTGACCTCTACTTCAGTCGTCATTTAAAAACTGCCATATTCAGGTTTTTTTTAAAAAAATTTTTTTATCTGCCATATTCAGTTTTTCATTTTGTCAGAACTACTTAAGAATTCTTAATTCTGATTCAAAGCAAAAATGCAGATGACTGATTTCTCTTTAAAGTGACTCCAGTCCTTCTATGGTGTTTCCTTCTTATGTGAACTAGACTTTGTAGCCAGTGGAATTTCTTTAATAAAGTTCCTAAATTGAATGCGAACTCTTTTTTCCGTGAAAAAACCCAAATAGAAATCTGGTTATTGCATAGAGATGGTTATGTTCTTTTGGGTTTCAAGATATTGGTGACACCAACTATATACAACTCTTTAAACCTGTTTCGCTAGTGAAATTCTCTTTTCTGTTCTCCTGGCAGGATATGCTGCCAGAGTATATTCCAATGAATGTTGCGGAATCGGTTCTCTTTGCTGGGAAAGCTATTAGGGTTTTGCGCAATCCAAGCCCTGCAAATAGTGTCCAGGGGGCACATTCTCATCAGCAGATTCGAAGAGGATCACAAAAGTCTCAGTTGAGGACTGTTCAAATGTCACTGACAAAGGATTCATCTTCGCTAGATGTACTGGTTGGGGAGGAATTACTTCCACAGACTGATGCTGATAAGATTGAAACCATGCTTCAAAATTTAAAGGTATCTTCATATGTTAATATAATGAAGTTTTAGCTTTGTTTTGGGAGTTTACTTCATAAATGGAGGTGCTTGTTCACTATGTTTTCAAAATTTTAATGCTGGCTAGTTTAAGGGAAGGGGGAAAAGGGTTTTGAGGTACAATGGTTATTGATGACTGACTATTGAACTAAGTTGAAATTTGGTTCTTTATGTGTAGGAGTCATCTGAATTCAACAAAAGATCATTTGAGGGTGCAATCGACTCAATTAGAGCAATTGCTGCGAGCCACCTTTGGCAGGTGCTGAGTGGTAAAAGTTTATACATCTAGTTTCTCTGCTATATTTACGGATACTAATTTCTGAATGCAGCTAGTTGTTGTACGTGCAAATTTGAATGGTCATTTGAAAGCCCTTAAAGATTATTTTCTTTTAGCCAAGGGTGATTTCTTTCAGGTAGGCTTGTTTCCTGCACTGGCTATTTCGTTATGTGTGAGTTTCCCGTTTGCTTTGAGTTTCATTATTGGAAGGAAGGGAAGGAAGTAATGGATGTGTTTGGGCTTTTCTTGTGACTTAATTAAAAAGAATAGATATCTCTTACTGGTCTTTGTGATGCAAATCAGATTGCACTTGGTCTTTGTAACGACTGGTTGGTTCATAATTGGTTCAATAAAACCTTAGAAATTTTAACTAATTTGGGCGTCTAAAATAATCCGTATGGGGCGGTTGACAGAGTCATTGTTATTTTGTTGCATTCCACCAGAGCTTCCTTGAAGAGAGTCGGCCAGTGATGCGGCTACCCCCTCGTCAATCCACGGCTGAAGCTGATCTCATGGTCCCATTTCAGCTTGTAAGTCTCCCGAATCATTTCCATGGCCGTCCGTATTGTGTGTTTAGTAGACTTTATTTATTTTTTCTTTTTCTATTTTGTTTTTTATTTATTTCATTCTTTTTCACTGGATATGTTACCGCGTCAATTAAGCATGAGTTTATCCCATGTGATTCTTTCTTTTTGTTTTTTTTTTCCTGGAAAAAGTAAATATTCTTTGATTTTTAAATGGCAAGATAACAATAGAATTTGAGTATAAAATTAAATGAAGAAAACAAAACATGTGAACTTTTTTAACACGCAAACACTTTGAGATAATATTTTATTGGCTTTTTTTCTGGAAAAAGTAAATATTATATGATTCTTGTAAATGGTAAGATAACAATAGAATTTGAGTAGAAAATTAAATGAAGAATACAAACATATGAACTTATTTAACACGCAAACACTTTAAGATAATTATTTTATAATATCATTATGTACAATAGTTCAGAATTGAAGTTAGTCTTTTTGTCTACGTACATGCATATTTTTAAGGGAAATCCAGGGTGGTACATTTGAAGAATTAACACTAACATATTTTTGAAATAAAGTTAGTGATGATGAATTTGAAATGAAGTCTGCTATTATAAACTAAGAGTAAATACGATGGACATAAAGTGGTTAGAGGGACTGGGAAGGAAAACTTGGAGGTATTACCGGTGGTTGCTGTTTAGTAGTAATTATTAATCGATAGATTTCTCATGTAAAGAGTGTGGTAAGCCTTTGAAAATGTTCCAACTGGAGATGTGACCTGGCAGGGGCTCTAAAAAAGTACTAGTTTTCAGTGATGCGTCTACTGTAATGTAATCCTGCAAACTTTTCTTTATAAGTTCAGTTATTCAAAAGTTTCTCAGTACCACAACTTTGAGATGATCTATGTTTTACTCAGGCTGCTTTGAAGACCATTGGTGATGAAGATGAATATTTTTCCAGGGTGTCATTGAGGTTAGAAAAGTTTGATTTACTCTGGTATCAGATTGATTATGGGGATGAAAAGAAATATCTGACTCTGATGCTCACACCAATTTTCTAGGATGACTTCATTTGGAATTCCTGTTAAATCCTCCCAACTAGAGCTACTGAAGACAAAATCTTATGTTGATGGAGACTCAACTGTTCAATCAGAGACTTCAAATGAAGTGTCAATTGATGGATGGGATGGCATCACTCTTGAATACTCAATTGACTGGCCGTTGCAGTTATTTTTTACGCCTGAAGCGCTCTCTAAGTTAGTCTAAATTTGTGATTCTTTATAAGTTCATTTCCTAATTGAAAACTTGTAAGTTGTAACCCAGTAAAAGCATTTATTAAATTCTAAATTATTATTAACTTTACCTGGTTGTTTTGCCATTGATCAGACCATGAAACTATTAATATTTGCAGTTACCAGTCCCTGAAAATCTTATTTTTCATCATGCTAACTAGAACTCTCTGCAGTATCTGTCTCCAATGACATCAAAATCTGATTTCTGTTTGAATCTTCTCTATCTTTCCAATTCTTTTTTATTGTCAATAGTAGTGAACGACTGAAGCAGTATCTGTCTCCAATGACATCAAAATCTGATTTCTGTTTGAATCTTCTCTATCTTTCCAATTCTTTTCTATTGTCAATAGTAGTGAATGACTGAAACAACTTAGAAGCATTTAGTTACGTCTTTAAACTTTGTTCCAGATACCGGCGAATCTTCCAGTATTTGCTTCGGTTAAAACGTACCCAGATGGAATTGGAGAAATCATGGGCTTCTGCCATGCATCATGATCATTCCGATATGTCAAATGATCAAGATGGCAGCGCTAGGTCTCATCAGCGACGGCAGCGCTCTAGACCAATGTGGCGTGTTAGGGAACACATGGCCTTCTTGATCAGAAATTTCCAATTTTACATTCAGGTGCTCTTTTAGCTTGTTGCTATATGCTTTAATTCTTGAGCCATATAATTCCAAATAGTTTCCGTGTTTCTCTAGGGTTTTGATACTTTCTTTGGTGTTCTTGACCTATTTTTACCTGTATCTAGTAGGTCAATTTTTTCATTCATAGACTGATAGCTGGACCGCAAGCAATTTACAGTTTGCTACCCCTAATCTCCTTTCAATGTCGATCTACTGTGTCGTGTTCTTATGTAGCTGGTTCATTGGTCTAAAAGGTCATTTTTCTTTTTGTATCTGATGCAAGAAAAAGTTAAATACTTGTTGAATCACATCATCTAAAGGTTGACAATTACATTTGTGTTCTCTTTCTCAATTCGATACATGTGAGGTAGCAGCCCTAGATTTTGTTTGGTTCTGATTGAGTTCAACACTTCCAAAGTGCTGCATAAACATTATCAGAGCGGGGTTGTGGTTTACCTCAATGGATATTTTGAGCTGGCAAACTTACAAGAATAGAACTTCAATTTTGGCTGATTACTAAGTACAATCACCTTATAGATGAATAGATTGTGCTACCATATTTTAATTGCATTTCTCATATATGCTGGTATGGAAAGTTCTTGCCTGGATCTTATAAAGGGTGAACTCCAGCACATGTAGAATCCTCGCAGTTGCCGTGACTCCAGAGGTCTTTATTGTCTCATTAAATGTGATGTTTCAGGTTGATGTAATAGAATCACAGTGGAACGTGTTGCAATCTCATATTCAGAACTCTGACGATTTTACAGATCTTGTTGGCTTCCATCAAGAGTGAGTGAAGTTGACTCTGTTCTCATTACGATTATATTTATGCGGCAGAAGTTTTCTTTGCTGCCGTAGAAGCCCAATTTCGATTTTGATAGCATTCTGTTGGATTTTTATTCTGGATTTTATATTGTATTAGTTGCTTTTTGCTGCTGGCAACTATCATCAGTGATCAGTTTGAGTTGTATGAGTGCTACTTTCTGGGTTTATGAAATCAAATCGATTACTGACTTGCTTACTTCCAACACGAAAATCCATCAACAGACAATCTGTTTCGTAATCAACAAAAGCATGATATTATCTGGTCCTTGGTTGCATTCACCCTCCCGACATCCATAGATTTTCTAACTTACAAGTAGTAACAATTTTGTTGCTGTTTCTAAATTTCACGAGTGGAATGCAATAAACCATCAACAACTCGATTGGGCCAGATCCTCTGTCTCTTGTTGGTTTTCAATTATCACTCTGTAGTTTTTTTTTTTTTTCCTTTTTCTATACAAAGATGAATTTATGCTGGTTCTGTCTTCTACTATGTTTGGATAGGTTTGAATATTTAGTTTGGTATTCTTTCGGTTAACTATATTTACTTTAGTATCCAGTAACAGTGGAAAAACTGTTCTCATCAGGTACTTATCTGCGTTAGTATCTCAATCTTTCTTGGATATTGGCTCTGTGTCAAGAATTTTGGATGGTATTATGAAGCTTTGCTTGCAATTCTGCTGGAAGATTGATTATTTGGAGAGCAATGAAACAACATTTGACCTAGAGCAGATAGCGGAGGTAAATCTGCTTCTTTTTCTCTTTTACCTTTCTCAGCTTTAATGTGTAAAAGGTGTCACTAATCAGATTAATCACTAGTACTTCTTTGAGAGTTTGAGCTATCATATCCATTACAATTTTGGATGGTGTACTGAACCTTTGTTTGCTCTACCAAGTATTTTTATCATCTTAATCAACTTTGTAGTATCATGTTTCATAGGAAAGTGTCTACAGGAGTTAGCTCGTCGTAACGGGTCTAATTTAACTGTATGTCAATAACTTTTCTCTATGCCTGCCTCTAGTGTCATGACTAGATGGTTGACAAATTGCTATTCCGTGTATTTCAAAGTGCTACTATTATCTCGTCAATGATTTCGGGAAATGTCATATGCTTGTGATTGGAAAAATATGCTTCCATTTTATAGTTGACTAGTTCTTGTCTTGAAGAAATAAATGCTGTTCTCTCTCGCAAGGTTCCTAATATTTTTCCTTTTTTTGTTTTTTTTCTTTGTTTTCAGGAATTTAGTAAAAAATCAAACTCCTTGTATACAATACTGCGCAGTAGCAGACTTGCTGGAAGTCAGCGAGCCCCATTTCTTCGGCGTTTTCTTCTGCGTCTTAACTTTAATTCCTACTTTGAGGTAATTCTTACTTCTGAGGGTTTAGCTCTTCTTGATTCATAAACTGTAGTTATTAAATGTATCTTGCTTACAGGCAACTGCTAGAGGAGTGATTAATGTTGTCAGGCCACGCCCTACATCCACAGTGCTGAAATGATTATTGTACGTCAATCCTGCCCGAATTACTTTGCTTCGGTCACATGATTAAACTCTTGAACACTGGCTGAATGACAAGGTTCAACGCTGAAGTTGAACTACTGAAGGTGGAGATCATTTGGATTTAGTAATGTATATATAGAAGTAGATTCCTCACCCGGTCTAATGCACTGCTGCTTGTCCTTAGCGTGTGTATCTGTTTACCCAGACTTTTGTTCCCGGATGCAATCGTGAGATTCAAAACCTTGACTTACTCCCAGCACGACTGGATCACTCTTTAGATTCTGAAGTTGAGTATGTTCAATAGTTACACTATTTAGCAGTACAATGAGAAATTCGCAATGTAAAATTATCTTGACATTCCTTTATCAAATATCAAAAGCGGGTGGGTTTTGAGTTTATGAAATATGTGTTCAACAAACATGACGAAAAAGAACATGTTGTAGTGCCTCGAATCTGTATTCTTGCCGAGAAATAAAATTCACTTAAAACAATTTGGTTATCCAACACGGGAAAAATTGGTGGATCTATCTAAATCTTTACATACTTTGTCAATCCTATTTTATTCTTTTTCGGTTAGCCAATATTACCGTAAACTATTCAATCGTTAGCCGATTTTGTCTAATTTGTTATTTTCCGTCTAAATTACCGGAATTATATTTGTTTTAATTATAAAAATACCCTAATAATTTTAAAAATTTATAAAAATAACCCCAAAATTTATAAAATTATAAAATAGTCTATTTTCAGTTTTTATTTAAATTTTTTATTTATTTTTTTTACTATTTTTCATAACTATAAAAATATACTATATGATCTTTTTAAAAAACTATTTATTTTTAAACTTTAATGTACAAATTTTTAATTACATATTTGTATGTCATGTTTGATTTACATAAGCATATTAATTTTTTAATAATATGGTTTTACAATAATGATACTATTTTTTAATCTATTTTTTTCAATCTAAAGAATAAGATTATTTAACTAATACTAATTTTTCACAAAAAAATTAAACAATTCACATAGATTAAAAAAGAATCTATTGGTATATTTTAATGTATTACAATTTAATTCAACTGACTGTAGATTTTATTTTAAAATTTAAAAAGAAATCAAAATTAAAATATAAATTGTTTTTAAAAGACCAAGTACAGACAGAAAGTAAAAAAAAAAAAAACACCTATTTGGTTTCTACGTTGGCCCAACACAAGAATATTATATCGTGGCATTTACAAAAATGGCACAAAATATTTTATAAAAAATATGTATATTTATTAGTGCGAGGGTTTAACATTTTGTGATAGAAGTCTTTTTTTAAAAAAATAATAATAATAAAAAAATCTGCTCCACTACTGGACTCCACCTTTTTTTTACATTAAAAAAAAAATTAGATTTCTCCAGTGAGAATCAAACCTCAAACACAGTTTTAATCATCTCATATCTTAAATCACCTAACCATCCAATGCAACCTTCTTACCTTTAGTGGATCCCGCTTAAACGTGGGTAAAATCACTCTCCCGGTAAGAAATACTTTGGTGACAATTAATCTTATATCTACTCTCATGAAACTTAACACTTTAAACACTAGACAGTACCCTATATTTTGATTTAATAATTTTTTTAATTGGATAATACAATCTATAGTCTGTTTAGTTAATTTGGAATAAATTAAAATGTACTAATATATATGTTTTTAATCTATGCTAAATGTTATTTTTTGTAAAAAATTAGTTTTAGTAAAAAAAAATCTTATTCTTTAAATTGAAAAAGAAGGATTAAAAGAATAATATCATTATTGTCTAGCCATACTATTAAAAAAATTAATATGTTTATATAAATCAATCATGAGTTACAAAATGTATATCTATAAATTTGTACTGTAGTGTTTAAAAATAAATTATTTATTTAAAAGATCATATAGTATATTTTTATGGTTATGAAAAATAGTATAAAGAAATAAAAAAAAAGAAAAATTTAAATAAAAAACTGAAAAGAGACTATTTTGTAATGTTTGTAAATTTTTGGGGTTCTTTTAATAAATTTTTAAAATTATTAGGGTGTTTTTATAATTAAAACAAATAAAATTCCGTTAATTTAGACGGAAAATAACAAATTGGACAAAATCGGCTAACGGTTGGATAGTTTAGGTTAATATTAGCTAACCGAAAAAAATAGAGTAGAATTGATGATGCACGTAAAGTTTTGGGTAGATCCGCCAATTTTTCCTCCAACACGAGGTGACAATGAAAGGTTTTTGTAATTATTTGGACATAATTAACTTGATCACCTCATCCAAATTTCTGCGAGAAGAACTAGCTGCGGTTTCGACTGCTTCTTCGGCAGAAAAATTGACCGATCTACCCAAAGGTTGACATGTGTTGTCAATTTTACCCTGTTCTTTTTCGATTAGCCAATATTAGCCTAAGCTATCCAACTGTTAGCCGATTTTGTCTAATTGGTCAATTTTCGTTTAAATTAACGGAATTTTGTTAATTTTAATTACAAAAATATCCTAATAGTTTTGAAAATTATAAAAACGACCTTAAAAATTTGTAAAAATAACCAAACAGTCTTTTTACACTTTTTATTTAATTTTTTCTGTTTTCTATTTATTTTTATTATTTCTCATAACTATAAAAATATATTATATGATCTTTTTAAAAAAACTATTTATTTTTAAACACTACTGTGCAAATTTATAGATATGTATATTTGTAACTCATGGTTGATTTACAAAAGTAAGTAGACCCCACAGACTGAAAAAAATTAATAAAAAAATAAAAAATTAACGGATTAAGGAGTTTGACGTGATTTTTTGTAAAATTTCATTCAATGGATCAATGTTGATTAATTAACGAAAATATGGTGACTAATTTTGTCAGTAAAAAAATTAATGGTGACCAGAAGTTATGACCCGCCCATAGTTTAGGAACCAGAAGTGTGTTTTGCCCTTTATTTAATTTTATTTACTAATTTATTATTTCATCACACATTATCTATATAATATAAGCTAATATAAAGGTCACGCTTGACAAATAATTTCTTGCAATCTGATTGGTCGGACGGTCATCAGGTGACATATTCCTTGCATCACAGTTATCTATATGCTAATATAAAAGCAACGCTTGGCAAATAATTTCTTGCAATCTGATTGGTAGGGCGGTCGTCACGTGACATATGCCTTGCATCACAGTACATCATATTTTTAATTAGGGGCGAAAGTGTCTTTGAATAAATAGGAATAAATCAAATTTCTAATTATGGACGAAAGTGTCTTTCTAGGCATAAAACAAAAAAAATCAAATTTGCCCCATAACCCCCTTTCCAAAACGACGTAGTTTGAAAGGGGGCCTTTTCTACAAAATACCAAAGTTCCTCCATAAGCCCCTTCTCAAAACGACGTAGTTAGAAGGGGGGCACATCTGCAAAACAAATAATTTCTCCACATCGCAGCCGGTTCCTAGTTTCCCCACAACCCCAGTTTCCCAACTTTCCCAATTATGCCGTCACATCACCAGCGTTCCTCTTCTCTCAATCGTCACACCAGCTTCTCGCGCCGTCCCGGTGTTGTCCAAGCACATCTTCACCACCTGTCCATCTTAATGGTAATCAACTTAATCTGGAGGAGGTGAGCGGTGGTAGACAATTTTTTCCCCCTGCCTCAGTCGATTAATGGAGGAGATGTGGGTGGTTTATTGTTTGATGATATGATTAGGTAATTTTCTAAACATAATTTGATTTTATATTTGTATTAAGATTAGGAAAATATTGTAGGCTGATTTGTATTAGGCTTAGGGATTACTAATTTTTTCAAGAATATTAACTTGTACGTCTGTTTCTTCCAGATTTTATTAGGATTAGGAAATAGTCACCATGGTCACTGGTCTATATAAGTGAGCTACATCAAAATTAAGACCACAAACAATTATTATCCAGGTCACGCAACAATTCTACTAGGCTGCAGATCACGTAGCTCTCCTTGAACATCGACTTTTCTTGCACCTTCTTCAACCTTCCAGCTTTATTCACAGACGGCATATTGATTCACACAGGTTGGTGTTTTCCTTATAATCTGTTTCCTGATTGGTTATTATATGTTTGGATTTTTCTGCGTCATTGTTCATGGTTCTGATTTCTCTTTTGGAATATCATTGTTCCTCCTATTCTTTTATCCATTGATTCTGATTATAATTGAGATGTTTGCTTCCTTACAGGTTTTGATCTAACATGAATTTTTGAATAATGTCTATTCGATGATTTGCGAATTATTTCTTACATTATTAGATACTAAACAAGTCTCATTATAATTAATATTTTACTGATGCTAAAGAGTTACAGGTGAAACTATCTACTTCTGTTTCGGCTTCTGCTTCTGTTGCAACTAGATTACTAAGCTTTGATTTATTTATATTTTTCAGTGTTTTTTTGCTTTAAATCATTTGGTTTCTGAATACTTGTGACAATCAAGAATAACAAGAGCCTAAACAAAAAAAAAAAGAAAAACCAGTTCCTTTAGTTTAGATTCTGAAACTTTAGGGATGCTTCTTTTTCCCTTTTGAGTCAGTATTATTTTGCTAATGCAGCTCATTCGATGTATGGAGAATTATTTTGCTTAATGGATCTTTTTTGTTATGTCCTTGCTGGTAGCGTTTTGGAAAGAATTAAGTGTTCTTTTACGTGTCAAAAAGAACAATATATTATAAGTATTCTCTCTCCGTATTCTTGAACTTTATTTTTCAGTTTTCACTTTGTTACTGAGGAAGGCTAATCTACAATACTTTTTCATTTCGTGCATCTTAGCTGAACTAGGATTTTGATTTGTTATGTTTACCAATATGGGTAAGTCAGTAGGCTTTGGGTTTGATGTAGTAACAGAAGTTTGTGGCAAAAGAGAAGCCTGTGGACTTCCATGTGTTTGGGTTTGTTATGTTTTCAGAAGTTTGCTTCACACCTCTTATTTTTTTCCCTTATCCTACAGAATTGAAAAGAAATTCAAAATTTCAGAATTGGGTGCTCTGAACTTCCATGTGTTTGCTATTAGATTTTCATTGAGCAACATATTTTATAACTTCTGATCATATTTCTTACCTCATCAGATCATAGGGAAGCTAAATAATAGTATGTGTAGATCCTCCTTAATCAGCCTACATGATTAGTTGTAAGATAGGAATTAAGATGAGCTTGCACTTTTTTTTTCCCACTCACATGCTTTAGAGATGCTTAGCTTCGATCAAGACCATTCTTATTTTTGCACAAATTGGAATCGGAGAGATCCTTTACTTTTCCGCTTCTTGTCAACAGATCCATGGAAGCTTCTCAATTTGGATCATCATTTGAGAACAGCAGTGAAGGATTAACCATGGAGAAGTTTTGATTTCTGAAACATTTTCCTTTCATGATGCATATCAATGATCATCATAGTTGTTATCAAGATTTCTTCATTTATTTCATTGTATAAATGAAGGGCAG